CCGGGCCGTTTCGCCTGAGATATCCTCGCACCTCTCGTTTCTGAGTTGTCTGGGGTTGGGCGTTTCGCGTGAGACATCCTCCCAACTCTGAGCTCCCAGATGCCGCGCAAGAGGTGGTCCGGCCCGTTTCGCCAGAGACATCCTCGAAACTCTGAGCTCCCAGATGCCGCGCAAGAGGTGGTCCGGCCCGTTTCGCTTGAGACATCCTCCAAACTGGGAGCTCCCAGATGCCGCGCGCGAGGTGGTCTGGCCCGTATCGCTCGAGACATCCTCCAAACTGGGAGCTCCCAGATGCCGCGCGCGAGGTGGTCTGGCCCGTATCGCTCGAGACATCCTCCAAACTCTGAGCTCTAAGATGCCGTGCGCGAGGTGTTCCAGCGCGTTTTGCTTGAGACATCTTCGCAACTTTGAATTCTGAGATGCCACGCAAGAGGTGGTCCAGCCCATTTCGCTTGAGACATCCTCGAAACTCTGGGCTCCGAGATGCCGCGCAAAAGGTGGACCGGCCCGTTTCGCCTGAGACATCCTCCAAACTCTGAGCGCTGATATGCCGTGCGTGAGGTGGTCCAGCCCGTTTTGCTTGAGACATCCTCGCAACTCTGCGCTCTCTGATGCCGCGCGAGAGGTGGTCCGGCCCGTTTCGCTTGAGACATCCTCCAAACTCTGAGCCCCGAGATGCTGCCCAAGAGGTGGTCCGGCTTTACTCACTGGGGATATCTTCGCACTTTTGCATTCCGAGATGCCGCGCGAGAGGTGGTCCGGCCCGTTTCGTTTGACACGTCCTCGAAACTCTCAGCTCTGAGATGAAGCGCGCGAGGTGGTCTGGCCCGTTTCGCCTGAGACATCCTCGAAACTCTGAGTTCTGAGCTGCCGCGCAACAGGTTGTCCAGCCCATTTCGCCTGAGACATCGTCGCAACTCTGACCTCGGAGATGCCGCGGGCGACGTGGTCCAGCCTGTTTGCTTGAGACATACTCGCAACTCTGAGCTGAGATGCCCTGTGCGAGGTGGTCCGGCCCGTCTCGCCTGAGACATCCTCGCAACTGAGCTCTAAGATGCCGTGCGCAAGGTGGTCCGGCCCGTTTCGCACAAGGTATTCTCGCAACTCTGAGCTCCCAGATGCCGCGCAAGAGGTGGTCCAGCCTGGGGGCCCAGAAGACCACATGTTACATATCCCCCCTGGGACCCCCCATTGAGCTTCAGGAGGCCGCAGGACGCCCAGGACAGGCCCCAGGGGTCCCCAGGTGATTCCCAGGAGGCTCCCAGGAGGCCTCAGGAGGCCCCCTATCAGAACGTGTCAAGTTAATACACATCCGGCGTCGATTCGTTGATTTTTCTTGCTCTTGTGGCCCCGACAGCCACATGTTAGATATCATCCCCTGGGAGCCCCAAGAGGCTTCAGGAAGCCCCAGGTGGGGTCCAGGAGGCCACAGGAGGCCCAGGAGGAATCCCCAGGAGGTCACCAGGAGGCCCCAGGAGGCCCCAGGAGGCCCCCGCAACTCGGAGCTCTGAGACGCCGCGCTCGAGGTGGTCCGGCCCGTTTCGCCTGAGACTTCCTCGCAGCACGTTTCGCCCGAAACGTCGTCGCAACTCTGGGGTCCGAGATGCCGCGCGCGAGGTGGTCCAGTCCGTTACGCTGGAGACATCCTCGCAACTCTGGGCTCTGAGATGCCGTTCGGAATGAAGAGGAGGAGGAGGAGGAGGAGGAGGAGGAGGAGGAGGAGGAGGAGGAGGAGGAGGAGGAGGAGGAGGAGGAGGAGGAGGAGGAGGAGGAGGAGGAGGAGGATGCATGTTCTAACATGCCATGCCAGCCCGCAATGGACGGGCACGCCATCGGCCTTGGAAACCGCAGTGGGTAGAAAGAACCTGTTTGGGGAGACTGCACTCCGGCTATAATTTTTAGAGGAGAAGGGATTCCAGCAGATGATGCCGTCAAGAAGAGTGGTTTCCAACACTTCAATTCTACGAGGGGCGCCGGTTCCAGCAACGCGAAGCGTGGGTTCCAGCACCCAAGTTTGACGAGGCAGATTCTGCCATCAAGAAGGGTGGGTTCCAGAGCACAATTTTTACGAGGGGCAGTGGTTCCAGCCGCGCGCGGCGTGGGCCCCAGCACCCGCTTGTGACGAGGGAAAGCCGCCCTAGCAGACTGTGCCGACAAGCCGACCCGGCTTTCGTCTGCACGGGCAGTTAGGGCGATCCGCGTCCCAGCCCCGAATCCTCGTACAGTCCTTCAAACATTGACCCGCAAAATATTCGTGTAACTGTCGGACCCCCTCGAGTCGACTTAATCGAAATCGGCGCCTGATCTGATTCTTGACGCTTCCAGCGACTGCTCGTCTGATGCCTAATTGCGCGCGTTCAGGCCTGCGTGCCTGCGTGCGCGCTCCGTTGCACGCGGGCTCGTTTCCCTACTGTCTGGCCAGCAGCCGCAAAAAGCCCGTGAAGCATATTCAGCGGGCAAAGTGTCAAGCTTTATTCGTGTGGTGTCGTTGCGCGCTTTCCTGAATTATTCACTTTATTTTGCAAAGCGTCTTGATGGCTTCTGTCCGTACCCATCAATTTCAGGAATCCTTCTAACGATTGCCGCAGTGCTCACGACATGTCTCGGAAGCGTTTCTGGGACACATCAGAAGCGCATATACGTGATGGCTCGGCGCTTTCGTGGGTCTCACTGGTTGCCTCCTTGCGTGCTCGCGTGCTCTCATGTCTGAGCACGGTGGGGGCCGTCGTTCAGCAACGTGCCTGGGAGGGAGGCTTCAGACCCTGGAGGGTTCCTGATCTGATCAGGGCGTCGGTGACATCCATGGCCAAGCTTCGATTGGTGCTCCACGTGGTTTTCTGATGTCAGATTCTGTATCCAATGGTTCCTTATCCAAGGTCCTCAGCGTTCCTGCGCTTGCCTGTGCGTGTGCACGTGTGCATGCTGGCCCGATTTGTTCACGATTGCACATCGCTCCGCTGGGTATCCTTGCGCGTTCTTGAATATTATTGTGCGGGTGTATACTTCGGCATCAGTTCGCTGTCAGGCCTACACATGCTTTGGCTTGCATGCTGCATGCTTGCGTTATTGAATGCTCGAGCCAGATGGATCGCACTCTTGTTCACCCTGCGCAATTCGGTAGGTTCGTGTCGTGCCGTCGCGGCGGCGACCCCGACGCGGCGGCGATCGAGCTTGAACGCGGCTGGTGGCCCTGAATCGGCTGACATTGAACCATCCGCGCCTGTCGAAAAGCCGCGATCGTTCAAGGTTGAACCGCGCGGTGTTAGGATCCACCGCCGAAGTCCTCACGACGTAAGCCTGCCCTAGTACGCGAGGGAACATGCAGCTTGGCAGCGGGCGCGGCATCGAGGGTGGGTGAGGAGGCCGTGGACGAGCCGGGCACATGTGCTGAGGGATGGGGTAACCGCGCGTGCGGAGATGCGCTCAGGATCCATTGCTGGTCGCCGGTCTGAGACGGAGCCGTCCCTTGGGTCGAGGTGGCGGGAGGTGTCCCCGACATCCAACGCCGTGAACAAATATCAGCGCGGAGGGTTTTCCTTGTCTCGGGCCCCCAGAGACCCTGGATGAGCAAACCGACCCAGGATGGCGTCGGGGACCTTCCGTCTTGAAGAAGTTGGGGCGTTCCCAGACCCCCGACGTCATGATTTTTTCATGACGCCGACCCCCAGACGTCTGCACCCATTCCCCAGGACCGGTTTTCATCATGAGTAGTTTTTTGACGGTCCCGAGGCCCAGTAGGGGCCCCCAGAGGCCGAAACTATGGAAATGCCTCCCGTTGTGACTTTTTCACAACGCGAGGGGGTCTGGGTTGGGTGTCTGGGTTGCACTGTCATCAGGTGGCGGGGGTCCATGCCCCTCCCCCCCTGGCGTCGCAGGCAGGGCTCCCTGGAGGCCCCTCTGCGGCGGCCGAGGAAGAGCCTCTCAACGGCCATGCAGAAGCCTCGAACCCGGGCTTTCCTTGCGGACCCCTCGGCCCGAGGACGTGGAGGACGGGCGCTCCCCCGGGCGCGCTCGGGCGAGGGGAGCCATCATGTACGCACGAGCGCACCTACACTGGCTGGGCCCATCCTGGGCCCAGGATTGGCGCATGCACCCCCCCGTTCAAGTCGGGAAGGCGCGTGCGCCGATCCTGGGTCAATTCGATTGCCCCCCTGGCCCATGCCAGCGTAGGTATGACTACATCTGGCGTCCTCCCGACCCTGAGATCCGACGCCACGTGAATAATGCGACATCGAAGACAACCTCGGCAAGAGCCCGGGCCCTGATCTCTCGGCGGCACGTCTGGAGACGGATAGATCCGTGCTGGTCCTGGGGCTGGAGGGTTTCCCCGAAGGGCTTAGGCGACCCGTCCTCCTCCTCCTCCTCCTCCTCCTCCTCCTCCTCCTCCTCGGGTCGCTTACGGCTCCGGGAGAAACCGTGCACCTGGGGCCCTGGACGAGGCAAGACTGGCCGTCGCGAACAAGACGCCGCGACGCCAGGATGTAAGAGGAGGAGGAGGAGGAGGAGGAGGAGGAGGAGGAGGAGGAGGAGGAGGAGGAGGAGGAGGAGGAGGAGGAGGAGGAGGAGGAGGAGGATGAGGAGGAAGAGCAGGAGGAGGAGGAGGAGGAGGAGGAGAATGATGATGAGGAGGAGGAGGAAGAGGAGGAGGAGGAGGTAGCAGGAGGAGGAAGAGGAGGAGGAGGAGGAGGAGGAGGAGGAGGAGGAGGAGGAGAGGAGGAGGAGGAGGAGGAGAGGAGGAGGAAGAGAGGAGGAGGAGGAGCAGGAGGAGGAGGAAGAGGAGGAGGAGGAGGAGGAGGAGGAGGAGGAGGAGGAGGAGGAGGAGAGGAGGAGAGGAGGAGGAGGAGGAGGAGGAGGAGGAGGAGGAGGAGGAGGAGGAGGAGGTGGAGGAGGAGGAGGTGGAGGAGGAGGAGGAGGAGGAGGAGGATGGCGAGCACGAGCCGCCTCGCAGGCAGCGCGCGAAGGGGCGCCCGCCGCCGCCCGTGCCCCTCGCCAGCTCGAGGCCCGGGCGGGCCCCGTCCGCGGGCGGGGCGGCCAGGTCCCGGCGGGGGCGGCCGATGCTCGCCCTGCCGGGGGTCCGGAAGAGGGCCGACGACAGCAAGAGGAGCAGCACCAGCCAGAGTGCGCTTCGAAGCGGTCCGAGGACGTCCTGGCCACCTCGGCCGGGGCCCGGGTCCCGACCTCTCGGCGGCACGTCTGGGGAGGGGTCCTGGGAGTGTGAGGCTCGAGCAGGCCCGAGCTCGGGTTCGCCGACGTGTTGTTGACGAGCGCGTCCTGGATTTTGGCGGTCTGGTCTTCGTGGGATGTGTGCAGCGGGAGCTCGCGTCAAGTTTCAGATTGGGTCTCGTCGTTTTCATGATGGCCCCGTCAGGCCAACCCGAGTCCCCCGTACCCGAGTCTTACGTCTCCCCGAGTGGAGCAACACCAGCCAGAGTTCTCTTCGAGGCGGTCAGTGGACCTCCTGGCCACCCTCGGGCATTCTCTCCTCGCTGCTCGGCCGCTCTCTGGCCTCGGGGTGCTTTCCAGCTGCTGCGCCTCGCCGGGGGCGTTCCCGTGGTGCGCCGATGGGGCCGAACGGCCGCCGGGGAGCCGAGCTATGCTCCGAAGACCAGCGGGCATATATCGCCGATTCAGGGGCGAGGTCCCCCCCCCCCCGAGCTGCATTCCCCCCGTGGCGTTGCCCCCCCCACTCTCGGGCAGGGCACAGGCTGGGTCACCAGCGGGGGCGCGGAGAGGGTCGCGCTTTTCGCGCGCGGGTGCCCTTCCCTCAAGGGAAGGCGGCGCGAGGGCGCGGAGCGCGCGGAGGGTAGTCGTGCCGCCGCGCCTCGCGCCTCGCGTGGCTCGATGCGTGAAGTTGGGTGGCCTACAACCCTCGTCGAAATTGAACGCAAGTTTTTCCCACCCCGTCGCCCCCAAATTTCAGTGTTCATCGAACAGGCGCATCGCGGCCGGCGGGGTCCGAAGAAAATCTCGAAGTCGCCGGCGTCGGCGTGAACATTGAAATTGGGGGTCGGGGGGCGCCGCCAGGTCACGGTTAAAGCTTGCGTTCAATTTCGACGAGGGATGTAGGAATGGGGGGGATGTGGAAGGGGAGGGCTACGAAGTCTGCTGCATGGAGCCGGTTTTGTCTCCGCCGCCAGGCGCTTTCCAAGCGGCGCTGGGAGAACCAGCTGGGTGATCTGATTCGCTAGCCCCCTTTTTCTTGACCCATCCTTTCGTCCCACCCGATCTTCGGCCTTCAAACATTCCAGGCCTCCCCAATGGGGTCCGAGTAGGTGGGGTCGGAGGATCGCGCCGCATCGCCAATGCCCCAGCTATGCGGCCCGATCGGGGGTCCGATTTTCTCCACGCCGACGTCGCCGATGAATCGGCGATGTGGCAACATTCCCCCACCCCCTCAACCCGGACCCCATTCGGGAGGCTTCTACAGTGGAGACCCATGCCAAGAAACACAATGCTTACCTCCAGGGTGCTCTGGGTTTCTTGGGTTTCGATGGCTTTGCTGTGGGAAGAGCGACGTTCCCACACCAACAATCAATGGACGTCCTGGTGTCTCAGGGTTGGGTTTCGCGTGGAAGGTTTCTTGTGGTCGGGCCCCTACTGTATACTCCGTCGATTAGTCATGGGCCCCTCGCTGAACTCGACCGTCCAGCGTTCGCGTGGAAGGACCGCTGGAGACCGTCAGGGGCCAGCGATCACCACCGAGAGCCGCCCGTCACCGCCGAGAGACCGCCGATATACCACCGAGCGACGGCCGTGTACCGCCGAGGGCGGGTGGCTGACAGCTCCCCCCTCGTCGTCCTCCTCCTCCTCCTCCTCCTCCTCGTCTTCCTCCTCTTCGTCCTCCTCCTCCTCCTCCTCCTCCTCCTCCTCCTCCCCCTCCTCCTCCTCCTCCTCCTCTTCCTCCTCCTTCTCCTTCTCCTTCTCCTCCTCCTCCTCCTTCTCCTCCTCCCCCTCTCCATCCTCGCTGGCGGACGGCAGGGATTGACAGCATGGGACCTCCCGTTGGCCGGGGTGCCCACCCTGGGGTGGCCCGAGGCGCCTCGCGGCTTTGTCGTGGTGAGAGGTCGTGGTCCACTCTGCCGTGCCCCGTCGTGCCCCGTGTCCCGTGTCCCGTGGCGAGCGTCAGGGGCAACGTTAGGGGCGGATAGGCTCGGGGATGCATCGGCCCCCGATCGCCCATGCATCTCCGATAGGGGCTCGATATCCCACCTCGCCCAGGAGCGTGAGGATTCGCTATCGCGGGCCTGTCGCCGATCTATCGGCGATCTATCGCCGATGCCAGCTCGATATTTCTACCCCTGAGCTGGTCCTCCCCTCATGCTCACCCTTAGAGCAACAGTTTTCACCTCCCCACAGGTCGTGATAACGTGTTGGTTCACCTGGGTGGCGGCTGTTTCGTTCCACTGCGACTTTCTGTTGTAAAGCAAGGCTCCGTTCGATGAGAGCATCTCTTTCGGTTCCCATGCTTCGAATCCACTTTGGACGTCTTCCTGCTCCAGCAGTCGAAATGGCCTCCCTTTTCTCCGTGGGCGGCTCGCAACTCTATCTTCATGTGTCTACCAAGTTTCTGCTCCTACCAACTTCGTGCCTCTATCATCGTCGTGTTCCTACAAACTTCCAGCCGGCTTCCTACTTCATGTTTCTGGCAACTTCATCCGACAGGCTTGTGAATCCATGCATACATACAGACATACATACAAGCACACCCATCCATATATGCACACATACAAACACCGTAAATACATACATACATGCATACATAAATGCGGAGTCGTACATACATGCGCACGTACATACATACACACATACACACATACATACATACATCCATGCACACATGCATACATACACGCATACTTACGTACACACATTCACACACAACTACACATGCACACATACCTATACACACCTACACCTACACATACGCATACACATACTCATCCATAGACACATGTGCGTACACATACGCATACACATACACATACACACATACACATACACATACACATACACAGACACATACACATACACATACACATACACATACACATACACATACACATACACATACACACACTCACATTTGTGCATACGTGCATACATGCATACATACATGCGTGCACACATGCAAACATACGTTTCGGCACATACACATACATGCATACAGACATACTTACATACACACATACAAACATACACACACATGCTTTAATCAATGGTTTCATCTGACATGGTTTTTTTTTCATATATATATATATATCTATTATATATATGCACATGATTGTATGACATACATCATACGATATAAACAAATAGGCTGGGCCCCCTCCTGGGGCTTCCTCCACCTCGATCACATCTGCGTGACGCTCCCGGTACTGCGCTTCCGGGCCTCCCGGGGAGCCCCCAAATGCCCAAAGACAGCCCAAGACGACCCTAAGAAGCCCCCAGAACGCAAAAGAAAGGCCCAAGACGCTCCCAAGCAATTCAGGATAGCTTTCGGGCGGCTCTCCAGGCTCCCAGGAGGCCTCCAAGAGACCTCAAGAGAGCTTCGAGAGGCCTCCCGAGAGCGCCCGGAGAACCTAGTACTGTAAATTTTCATTGTTTTTTCGGGGTTTCTGGACTTCTCACCATTTCATGCTTCCAACGCTCCAGCACGGCCGAAGAGGCCCCCAAGACCACCCCAAGAGCGCCCAAGAGGCCCCCAAGACGGCCCCAAGACGGGCCAAGACGACCCCAAGACTGCCGAAGAGGCGCCCAGGACAGCTCCAGACCACCCCAGAACAGGCCCAAGATGAGCCCAAGAGCGGGAGCAGGATTCCTCCAGAGACCTCCGAGAGGAGTCCGGGACCCCCCATGGGCCTCCAACACACCCCAGACCCCTGAGAGGCTCCCAAAAAAGCCCCGACAGGCCCCCCAAACAGCCCAAGAGAGCTTCGAGAGCCGTCCCGAGAGAGCCCGAAGAGGGTAAAACCGTTGATTTCCAGTCGTTTCTGTCGACATTTTTCGCCTCTCACGTTTTCCCGCTTCCAACGCTCCAAGACCGAGGAATCAAAAAGAAAGAGGGAATTGCAGATATTCATTTTTTTCCAAGTTCAACAAATTCGCCCCCCCTCCTCCCAGGGGTCCCGCACCTTCCCGGAGCATCTGCGGAACGCTCCCGGTACCGCGCTTCCCGACTTCCCGGGGAGCCCCCAAAACGCCTAAGGACAGCCCAAGGACAGCCCAAGACGACCCCAAGAAGCGCCCAGAACGTAAAAGAATGGCCCAAGACGCTCCCAAGCAACTCAGGATAGCTTTCGGGCGGCTCTCCAGGCTCCCAGGAGGCCTCCAAGAGACCTCAAGAGAGCTCCGAGAGGCCTCCCGAGAGCGCCCGGAGAACCTAGTATCCTTGTATATATATATATATATATATATACACGTGTGTGTGTATATATATATATATATATGTAATACGTTTTTTGGCCTTCATTTCATGCTTCCAACGCTCGAGCACGGCCGAAGAGGCCCCCAAGACGGCCCGAAGACCGCCCAAGAGGCCCCCAAGAGGGCCCCAAGACGGGCCAAGACGGCCCCAAGAATGCCGAAGAGGCGCCCAGGACAGCTCCAGACCACCCCAAAGATGAGCCCAAGAGCGGGAGCAGGAGGCCTCCAGAGACCTCCGAGAGGAGTCCGGGACCCCCCAGAGGCCTCCAACACACTCCAGACCCCTGAGAGGCTCCCCAAAAAGCCCCGACAAGGTCCCCCAAACAGCACAAGAGAGCTTCGAGAGCTGCCCCGAGAGAGCCCGAAGAGGGTAAAATCGTTGATTTCCAGTCGTTTCTGTTGACATTTTTCGCCTTCTCACGTTTTCCCGCTTCCAACGCTCCAAGACCGAGGAATCAAAAAGAAAGAGGGAATTGCAGATATTCCCTGTTTTCCAAGTTCAACAAATTCGCCCCCCTCCTCCCGGGGGTCCCGCACCTTCCCGGAACATCTGCGGGACGCTCCCGGTACAGCGCTTCCCGACCTCCCGGGGAGCCCCCCAAACGCCCAAGGACAGCCCAAGGACAGCCCAAGACGACCTCAAGAAGCGCCCAGAACGCAAAAGAAAGGCCCAAGACGCTCCCAAGCAACTCAGGATAGCTTTCGGGCGGCTCTCCAGGCTCCCAGGAGCTCCGAGAGGCCTCCCGAGAGCGCCCGGAGAACCTAGTATCGTTTTTTTTTTTTTTTTTTTTTTTTTTTTTTTTTTTTTTTTTTTTTTTTTTTTTTTTTTTTTTTTTTTTTTTTTTTTTTTTTTTTTTATATATATATATATATATATATATATATATATGTAATAGGCTTTTTTTCCTTCATTTCATGCTTCCAACGCTCAAGCACGGCCGAAGAGGCCCCCAAGACGGCCCGAAAAGCGCCCAAGAGGCCCCCAAGAGGGCCCCAAGACGGGCCAAGACGGCCCCAAGACTGCCGAAGAGGCGCCCAGGACAGCTCCAGACCACCCCAAAGATGAGCCCAAGAGCGGGAGCAGGAGGCCTCCAGAGACCTCCGAGAGGAGTCCGGGACCCCCTCGAGGCCTCCAACACACCCCAGACCCCTGAGAGGCCACCAAAAAAGCCGCGACGAGGCCCCCAAAACAGCCCAAGAGAGCTTCGAGAGCCGTTCCGAGAGAGCCCGAAGAGGGTAAAACCGTTGATTTCCAGTCGTTTCTGTCGACGTCTTTCGCCTTCTCACGTTTTTCCGCTTCCAGCGCTCCAAGACTGAGGAATTTGAAAGAAAAAAGGGAATTCCAGAGATTCCATTTTTTTCAAGTTTGGACTCCTGCTCCCTATCCTCTTCCTCGAGCCCCATCAAGACTTCGGAGTCACATGCAAAGATGTGTCGGGAATATTGTTGAACTCTCTGACGCTGTCTTGGTACTCTTTTGGGTCGTCTTTGCGTCCTTTTGGCTGCCCCTGAAACCACCGTAGAAATCGAGATCCCATGATCGCATGAGTTGAACATACATTTCTTCTATTCCAAACTGACCACCTGCTTATTTTTGCACGAAGATCCCGAGAGGTCTCCCAACGGACCGTGGCCTGTATTCAGAAAGCTTCTAACCCTCAGCCAAGGCACGGTAACTTGAACAAACATAGGGAAATCCCACATTTCGTTTTTTTCAAGTTCGTCCCCTGTCTACTCTTGCACAAAAGACTACACTGAACGCCTCCCTCAGGTCCCAGAAAATTCAAACTAAGAAGCCTTTGAGGGCCTGAAATCGTTGAATGCCGAACGGAAATGAATGATTTCCGCGTTTCTGCAGTTCCCCTTTCATACGGTTGCGAGGCTTGTGCAGGGCCTCGAAGAGAGTTCCTGGATACAAGAAGCGACAAACATGATATTCCATGATTTAGCCCATCAAGCCTAGCTAGAACTAAAGCGCGCTCGAAGCGCGTGCGATGGTTCTAGTTTGTACGGATATATGTACACGTTCCCCACACAATGTGCTTGCACTTCGGTTTCTGCTTTCTTCTCTGAGGAACTGGGCTGGTGTGGCGATCTGGCGGCTATGCTGTTTCCGTCGCCGCCCCGTCGCCGCCTCGTCGCCGCCCGTCGTCTGGGGTTGTCTGCCGGTCTGGCGGCTATGTTGTCGTCCGTCGCCGCCCCGTGTCCGCCTCGTCGCCGCCCGTCGTCTGGGCCTGTCTGCTGGTCTGGCGGCTGTGTTGCTGCCGCTGCCGCCCAGTTGCCGCCTCGTAGAGTACACAACATATATATATATATATATATATATATATATATATATGTGTATATATATTATATTATATATATATATATATATATATATATATTCCTCTTCCTATATTTTTGCAAGCCCGGGGGGGGGAAACCATCCCCCCCCCCAAAACTGGACCCCCGCGATCTGGGCTTCTCGGGCTCCCTTGGACGTCCTTGGAAAAGGTCACCTGGCTTTCCGGGTCTCCACAAACGCCTTGCCAGCAGACCCAGAGCGATCCGAGTGGTCATCAGAAAGGCTCAAGGGAGGCCCCAGACAGCACAAGAGCGCTCCAAGAGGGACTCCAATTGCGTCAGGACGGCCCAAAGGACCCCCAAGGGGCACCCCAAAAAGCTTTCCAAGGGGCCTTCAAACTACAAGAATCGTCCCATTCCCTTCGTAAAACTTACAATTTTAGCATATTCGCCTTTCGGATTTCATCAGCTTTCAAGACGGTTCCACAGCTCCCGAGATCGCCTCCAGACGCCCCAAAAGGCCCCCAAGAAAGCTTCAAGACGGCCGAGCCGGGCCCCACGATCGCCCACGAGAGCCCCAAGACAGCCCACGAGGGCCCCGAAAACACCCCCACGATGTTTCCGAATGCCAACATAAAGACCCCCAAGGCACTCCGAAAAGCTTTCCAAGGGGCCTTCAAACCAGAAACATCGCCCCATTCCCTTCGTAAAACTTACAATTTTAGCATATTCGCCTTTCGAATTTCATCAGCTTTCACGACGGTTTCAAAGCCCCCGAGATCGCCTCAAGACGCCCCAAAAGGCCCCCAAGAAAGTTTCAAGACGGCCGAGCCGGGCCACACGATCGCCCACGAGAGCCCCAAGACAGCCCATAATGGAACCAAGAGGCCCCCCAAGGGCTCCCAGCACAGACCCAAAAGGGCCATGGGAGGTCCCTGGAAGTGCTCAAGATGGGTCCCAAGGGGGCTCCAGCGGGCCCAAGCTCCCCAAGACCGCCCAAGAAGGCCCCACGACGGCCCATGAAGGCGCCAAAACGGCCCACGAGGGCCCCGAAAACACCCCCACGATGTTTCCGAATGTTAACATAGAGACCCCCAAGGCACCCCAAAAAGCTTTCCAAGGGGCCTTCAAACTGCAAAAATCGTCCCATTCTCTTCGTAAAACCTACAATTTTAGCATATTCGCCTTTCGGATTTCATCAGCTTTCAAGACGGTTCCACAGCCCCCGAGATCGCCCCCAGACGCCCCAAAAGGCCCCCTAGAAAGCTTTAAGACGGCCGAGCCGGGCCCCACGATCGCCCACGAAAGCCCCAAGACAGCCCATAATGGAACCAAGAGGCCCCCCAAGGGCTCCCAGCACAGACCCAAAAGGGCCATGGGAGGTTCCCGGAAGTGCCCAAGATGGGTCCAAAGGGGGCTCCAGCGGGCCCAAGCTCCCCAAGACCGCCCAAGAAGGCCCCAGGACGGCCCATGAAGGTGCCAAAACGGCCCATGAGGGCCCCGAAAACACCCCCACGATGTTTCCGAATGTCAACATTCATTGATTTTGCTCCCATGACATTTCACATTGTGACCTAGTCGTTGAGGGTCTCGTGGCATGCAGCGAAGATGCCCGAGGATGCCCCGTACGAGTTGCATTTGCATGCTCAAACCCTTACACACATAAATTTATATGTACATATGTACGCTGTATACACATAAACAACAATGTAAGTATATTGTATACACCTAGACATTTATACGGAACGTGCATGAACGTGCGCGTGTATACATGCATGCGCGCATGTACGCACGCACGCATTCCGCTTGCGTGCAGAACTCAAAGGACCAAGGTGCATGGCGCGCAGCGCCAATGCAGTCTTGTATATATATATATATATATATATATATATATATATTGCGCATGGTTTTTCGGCCTGGGTCGTTTTTTGACGGTCCCGAGGCCCGGAAAGGGTCCCTGGAAGGCGAAAACGGCGAAAAAGCGGCAGCTCCCATGCGTCGGATCTCTGGGAACGCCTTTGCGTGCCGCCCCGCAGGAACGACGACCGCAAGGGGCTCATCTTCCTGCTGCCCTCGGGCCGCTTGGAGGGCGGTCCTCCGCCGCCACGGTGCAGTGGCGACAGAGGTCCGGACCCCCATGATGGGGAGGACGAGGACGACGGGCTCAGCCCCATAAACAACAAGGCCCAAGGGGGGGGGCGCGCGGCGACGCGTGACGGGGATGGTCTGCTGCACGTGTGGGTGACCCTTCGCCAGGGTGACCTCGGGTGAAGGCACACTTCAGCCACGCGCAGATGGGGGGCCGAGGGAGGGGGGAAGGCTTCTTGGAGGCACCCCCGCTTCTCCGAAGGGGCGGGCCTTGTTTGTAGATGTAGGGCTGAAGCCTTCAAAGAAGCAGCCTCCTTCTGAGAAGCCTTCCCCCCTTCCCCTAACCCCCCCTTGTGTGCGCAGCCAAGAGTGACTTTCGCCAGGGTGACCTTGGGTGAGGGCACGGTCGTGTCCGAAGATGGCTGACTGCGATGCGATTGCAGCGGCTTGCGCGCTCGGGCTTAGCCCCAGCGTCCCCTGGACCCTTGAAGCCGCGCAGCACAGGTCACTCTTGCCTGGGGTCAGTCTTGCGTGTAGCCGAGGACGGGAAGTACGGCGTGCTCGCGTCGTGTAGACGCGGCGACAAGTCCGGCGCGGGCGATCCAGGTTGAACGCCGACGGCGGCTGGGAATCAGCTGACACCGAATGTTCCGCGCTATCGGGAAGCCGCGATCGCTCAAGGTCCAACGGTCCACGGGGTGTTAGAAACCTTCGGTGGCAAATCATGGGAGCCTTGTGTACCCTCGCATTCCAGTCTGGGAGTGCACTAGCGTCGTTTAGCGTCCGAAAATCTATGAGATAGCGCCGATTCAGCGACGAGTAGCGTCGATTGGCGTCGACTTAGCGTCGATTAGCGTCGACTGCCGTCGATCAGCATCGATTTTCAAGCGCTCACAAGAAGGTGTGGCAGGCTCCCACGAGTTGCAGCAGAGAGCCAGCGCGCAGGCCGTCGCGACACAACTCTGCTGCTGGTCGGGCATGGAGGGAAAGGGGCAGGGATGCGCTTGCGGGGCGAGGAGTGCGCTCGCGCGAAGCGCCCGCTCACGACCGCGGACCTCCGAGGAGCTGCCGGCTGCCTGCCCAGACTTCTCCACGTCGCAGCGCGGCAGAGAGGCGATCCGCACGCGCGCGCTCCAGGGTGGCCTGGAGCGGGCGAGCTCACTCTCCGGCGGCAGGAGAGGAGGAGGGCGTGGAGGGCGGCCGCAGAGCCGGGAGACAGAGGGAGGGCACCCCCTGCGCGAGCACCTTGGGGCAGGAGTGACCGGCGCGGCCCGCCCGCGCTGCCTGCGTGCCCAGACATCCGGCGTGGTGTTTTTGGCACCACGTGCCGATACAGTGGCGATGCATCGGCCATGCGTCGGCGATGCATCGGCAACGTTGGCCTGGAGAAACTCGGGCTCTACATCGAGCCGCGTCGCCGATGCATCGGCGATGCGGCGCGATATTTTGACTCTATTTACTCGGACCTCATTCGGGAGGCCTGGGTCTGGGTCTTTGTCCCCCTGTCTTCCGTACCCATACTCCGACGTCTCTTTCTCCTACCTCACAACCATCCTGTGGTGTTGGGTCATCGTTTTGGAGAGACGGTCCGCGCGTTCCTTCCTTCCTTCCTTCCTTCCTTCCTTCCTTCCTTCTCCCCCTCCTCGTCCTCCTCCTCCTCCTCCTCCTTCTCCTCCTCCTCCTCACCACCACACGTTTCGGGGCCCAATAAGAGCTCCACCGAAGGCCCCGGTGCCACCGTCCACATGCGTCCGCCACACCGATTTCGGCACAACCCTCACACGCCTCGTGGCCCCATTGGGAGCTCCACACAAAGCCCCAGTGGCACCGTCCACATGCGCCCGCCACACGCGTGTCCGCACCTTCGCACGTTTCGTGGCGCCATAGGGAGCTTCACCGAAGGCCCCAGTGCCACCGTCCACATGCGTCCGCCATACCCATTTCGGCACACCCCTCACACGTCTCGTGGCCCCATAGGGGAGCTCCACTGAAGGCCCCAGTGGCACCGTCCTCATGCGTCCACCACACCCATATCGGCACACCCCTCGCACGTTTCGTGGCCCCATAGGGAGCTCCACCGAAGGCCCCAGTGGCACCGTCCACATGTGTCCGCCACACACATATCGGCACACCCCTCACACGTTTCGTGGCCCCATTGGGAGCTCGACCGAAGGCCCCAGTGGCACTGTCCACATGCGTTCGCCACACCGATTTCGGCACACCCTCGCACGTTTCGTGGCCCCATATGGGAGCTCCATCCAAGGCCCCAGTGGCACCGTCCACATGCGTCCGCCACACCCAACATCCCGACCTCGAATTTCTAACCTCCGACTTTCGTTTCCATCGCCAATCCACCTCCAGCTTATGTGCCTTCGGCTGCGCGTGTACCTGCGCCCTGAGTGGTATCTGAAGGATGTAACTGGATTGGAATTCCGCGACGTCCAACTCGTTCGTGTTTGGCTTGGGCTTCGCGGTTACAGAAAGGACGATGACATCCACGGGATTCTTCGACAGGTTCATGCCACAGACACTACGACTTCAACGAATTTACGTCACTACATCGGATTACAACAGAGGAGTGGGAACACTTGGAACATCAACATGTGAGGTACGCATTATCCTGAGCAAGCCTCCGACGCGCGCCGCCTCTCATGCGAGGCCATGGCCTCACCCGCCTCGCCCTTAAGGGGCCCGGGCACATGCCCGCACAGGCGATCCGACCCAACTCGGCACACCCCTCACACGTTTCGTGGCCCCATTGGGAGCTCGACCGAAGGCCCCAGTGGCACCGTCCACATGTGTCTGCACACCCATTTCGGCACACCCCTCACACGTTTCGTGGCCCCATATGGGAGCTCCACCCAAGGTCCCAGTGGCACCGTCCACATGCGTCCGCCACACCCATGTCGGCACACCCCTCGCGCGTCTCGTGGCTCCATAGGGAGCTCCACCCAAGGCCCCAGTGGCACCGTCCACATGCGTCCGCTTCCTATGTCGGCACGCCCCTCACACGTTTCGTGGCCCCATCGGGAGCTCCACTGAAGGCCCCAGTGGCACCGTCCACATGCGTCCGCCACACCCATTTCGGCACACCCCTCGCACGTTTCGTGGCTCATATGGGAGCTCCACCAAAGGCCCCAGTGACACCGTCCACATGCTTCCACCACACCCATGTCGGCACACCCCTCACACGTCTCGTGGCTCCATAGGGAGCTCCACTGAAGACCCCAGTGGCACCGTCCACATGCGTCCGCCACCAATTTCGGCACACCCCTCGCACGTTTTGTGCCCCCATAGTGAGTTCCCCCCAAGGCCCCAGTGGCACCGTCCACATGCGGCCGCCAAACCCATGTCGGCACACCCCTCGCACTTTTCGTGATTCCATAGGGAGCTCGACCCAGGGCCCCAGTGGCATCGTCCACATGCGTCCGCCACACCCTTTTCAGCACACCCCTCACACGTTTCGTAGCCCCATAGGGAGCTCCACCGAAGATGATACTCACGACTGCGGTGCTCACAGCTGCACATGGTTGGGTCCTTCGCCATTTTTTGTTTTTGGCACAATGTAGTTTTCCAGAGGTCAAGACCCTTTTCCCAGGACCTGCTTTTATCCCGAGTCGTTTTTTGATTGTCTGGGACCCGCTAAAGGCTGCCAGACGCAGAAAATTGGCAAAAACCTGCCGTCGCAATTTCCTTCACAACGGGAGGATGTCCGGGTGGCCGAGGGGCAGCGTGGATCCCAGACCCGGCTGGGGTAGCGTGGGGTAGCGTGGGGTAGCTGCACAGGAGCACCGCAGCGTGGCACTTCATGTGGCCCTGCGCAACAGCTGCGACGCTTCGGGCCACTTTTCTGGGCCTCTTCGAGGCCACTTCGGCATCGGAGCCGGCTGGGGGGCGGAGGTGGCCCAGCACTGATTCTGGCCAGCAGAGCTGGGGGAGAAAGAAGCCCCCCGTCGCGACGGCCAGGAGGGGGAGCAACGCCTCGGCCGCCTTGAGAGACAACGAAGGGCAGTGTTGCGCCATTCCGGGGCCATCTTGGCGCCATCTTGGACTTGGTGGTCCCCAAACGTGGTAGTGAGAGCACCCGGTGGTGAGTTTTGGGCGATTTGGGTAAATGTTTTTCGAGCGCTGGCTGGCCCAGGAAACGCAAAACCTCGTGGCGACCGCGTGTCCCCAAACCTGGTGGTGACCCAGAATTATTCCCAACCATCCTGTGGTGTTGGGTCCTCGTTTTGAAGAGACGGTGGCCCGCGTCTCCTCCTCCTCTCCTCCTCCTCCCCCTCCTCACTCCTCCCATCATCATCATCATCATCATCATCCATCATCATCATCATCATCATCATCATCATCATCATCATCATCATCATCATCATCATCATCATCATCATCATCGTCATCATCGTCATCATCATCATCATCATCATGCGTCCCGCACACCCATTTCACCCCTCACAGGCCCCATTCATGGCTGCGTCCGCATCTCATCATCGCTCACCGCCGTCACACCCCTCACACGTTTCGTGGCCCCATAGGGAGCTCCACCGAAGGCCCCATGGCTGTCCGCATGCGTCCCGCACACCCATTTCGGCACACCCCTCACACGTTTCGTGGCCCCATAGGGAGCTCCACCGAAGGCCCCAGTGCTGCCGTCCGCATGCGTCCCGCACACCCATTTCGGCACACCCCTCACACGTTTCGTGGCCCCATAGGGAGCTCCACCGAAGGCCCCATGGCTGCCGTCCGCATGCGTCCCGCACACCCATTTCGGCACACCCCTCACACGTTTCGTGGCCCCATAGGGAGCTCCACCGAAGGCCCCATGCTGCCGTCCGCATGCGTCCCGCACACCCATTTCGGCACACCCCTCACACGTTTCGTGGCCCCACAGGGAGCTCCACCGAAGGCCCCATGGCTGCCGTCCGCATGCGTCCCGCACACCCATTTCGGCACACCCCTCACACGTTTCGTGGCCCCACAGGGAGCTCCACCGAAGGCCCCAGTGCTGCCGTCCGCATGCGTCCCGCACACCCATTTCGGCACACCCCTCACACGTTTCGTGGCCCCATAGGGAGCTCCACCGAAGGCCCCATGGCTGCCGTCCGCATGCGTCCCGCACACCCATTTCGGCACACCCCTCACACGTTTCGTGGCCCCACAGGGAGCTCCACCGAAGGCCCCAGTGCTGCCGTCCGCATGCGTCCCGCACACCCATTTCGGCACACCCCTCACACGTTTCGTGGCCCCACAGGGAGCTCCACCGAAGGCCCCAGTGCTGCCGTCCGCATGCGTCCCGCACACCCATTTCGGCACACCCCTCACACGTTTCGTGGCCCCATAGGGAGCTCCACCGAAGGCCCCATGGCTGCCGTCCGCATGCGTCCCGCACACCCATTTCGGCACACCCCTCACACGTTTCGTGGCCCCATAGGGAGCTCCACCGAAGGCCCCAGTGCTGCCGTCCGCATGCGTCCCGCACACCCATTTCGGCACACCCCTCACACGTTTCGTGGCCCCACAGGGAGCTCCACCGAAGGCCCCACATGCGTCGGCCTCACACGTTTCGTGGCCCCAGAGCTCCACCCCCATGGCTGCCGTCCGCATGCGTCCCGCACACCCATTTCGGCACACCCCTCACACGTTTCGTGGCCCCACAGGGAGCTCCACCGAAGGCCCCAGTGCTGCCGTCCGCATGCGTCCCGCACACCCATTTCGGCACACCCCTCACACGTTTCGTGGCCCCACAGGGAGCTCCACCGAAGGCCCCATGGCTGCCGTCCGCATGCGTCCCGCACACCCATTTCGGCACACCCCTCACACGTTTCGTGGCCCCACAGGGAGCTCCACCGAAGGCCCCAGTGCTGCCGTCCGCATGCGTCCCGCACACCCATTTCGGCACACCCCTCACACGTTTCGTGGCCCCATAGGGAGCTCCACCGAAGGCCCCATGGCTGCCGTCCGCATGCGTCCCGCACACCCATTTCGGCACACCCCTCACACGTTTCGTGGCCCCACAGGGAGCTCCACCGAAGGCCCCAGTGCTGCCGTCCGCATGCGTCCCGCACACCAGGTGTGTGGCGTGCCGACATGGGCGTCGCGGCGCGCGGGCGCTGCCGTCGGGGTTCCCAGGGAAGCCCCCTGCAGAGGCGACGCTCAGAGTCACGAGTACCGAGAGTCACGCAGACCCAAACTGTTCACAGTCGTATACATACATTTACACTGGGCGTATCCATGCACGCATTCATGCGAATAGAATCAATCGCGCGCAGATTCATTCATAATCAGACTCGCTCGCGATCCGACTCGCACGCGCTCAAGCTTTCATATTCGGACCTATCGTCTTCGTTCGTGTTGTGTACACTGCCACGCATTTCGGCACACCCCTCATACGGCTCGTGGCCCCATAGGGAGCGCCACCGAAAAAGATATTCACAATTGCGGTACTCTCAACTGCATATGGTTGGGTCCTTCGCCAGGCTATTTTTTTGGGGGAATCGGGGTCACCACCGGGTGTCTCACCACCTGGTTTGGAGACCACCAATGGACTCATCCAGGGGTTACATCCGGGTCGGCATGAGGCATGGCACGCTTCGCCCCGCGCTTTTGCTTTTCTCCCCCCTCCTCGGGCGCTCCGGGGGCGACTTCGGCCCCGGTCAGGTCCACGGATCCCTCAGGTGTCGGGGGCGGAAAAGAGGGGGGTGATGACTAGGGGGGGGTGGATATCATGGCGGGGGGCATGGTATTTCCTCAGATTTCATGGCGCCTCTTCTTATTTCGTTACGTCCCTGGCCCCCCCGCTGGGCCGCGCACATGCCGCCGGTCATGATTTGCACCCCCCCCTCTTGGACACCCCCCTCTTTGCCGCTCCCGAAGGTGGGCGCCCTCGCGCGCGCGCGCGGACCAGACCCTTGGGCAACACGTCGTCCGCATTCCCTGAGTTGCCTGCTTGGGGGATCTAGTTAGTTGTTGGCCCACTGGGCTGGCGATTTTCTTGACGTTCCCCGGCGGGAAGGGGGGAGTCGCTCTGCAGCGCGGACAGCTTCAAGAGAAGACAGCGGCGCGCCCTTCCGAGGATCGAGGCAGCTGTGCCCAGAGACAAAGTCAGGCGATCGCAAACATGGATCAAGGGGGCGTGGATTAGCGACGGGTCCCGCTCCCATAGGAGGTGCGAATTTCCGCCGCCGAGCGAGACGGCACTGGCCGCACTTTGGGGAGGTGTCCATGGATCGGTAATCCATGTTTGCGCGCCCCCGAACAAAGGCACGTGCAGAACAGGGCGCTGTGGAGCCGTTTTCACGCGAGCCGATTGTTTGGTTAGTCCGTCGACCTCGGCATCGGTGGCCGCCCTCTGGGCTGCCCGGGCACGTGAGAGGAAGCTCGAGCACAGGGAGTCAGAGTGTGAGCGCTAGCAGAAGCGGGGAGATCGAGAGGCATATGGTTTGACAACTCTTTCGCCTCCGCGTGACCAGGCCACACTGAACCGGCGGAGCATGGTGCCGCGGAGCTGCCCCGAGCTTTGAAGCCATTCTGGCCTCTCTTCTTGGTTGCGCTCCCTTTGCTTCGAGTGCGTCTCCGGCCACGCTGGTCCCCCCCTGACATCGCTGCGGCTCGACTCGAGTGGTTGCATGCAGGTAGCACTCGCGGGTAAATGTGTGGGGTGCGATGTCTGACACCAGTGCTGTGAGCCCGCTACGCCGAGTCAGACAAGGCAGCTTACGGACGTCTCGGTAAAATCATGCAGGGGATTATGTGCGTTAGCTAATGTCGCATGTTGCTAGCTCAGGCCGTTGCGTCCAGGAGTTCGGGCTGTTTCGGGCACGCGCCATCCATCGGGACCACTCCAGGAGCATACGCACACCAACGCGTTCTTGAGCAACTCAAGCAGAATTTTGAGCGTCAGAAATGCTTGAGCATCGTCAGAACATTTCAAGTAAGGTATGGTCTTGGGGAGAAGAGACGCGGGTAGAACAAGCAGGTCGGACATGATATCGTAGGCAACGTGGCGTACTGTCGTGTCAAGTTCCTACTTTCAGCTTGCCGGCCAGGAGATCCGGCACCTCGTTGTTTTTCAAGGTTTACGAGCTCGAGGGCAACCCTCTCGGTGAGGGTGGCTTCGGCTGCGTGCAAAAAGTACGACTGAAGCAGTCCAACACCCTTCGTGCGGTGAAGGTGATGAGCAAATCTAACTTGTCATCGGAGACGGCATGGATGGAAGAGGCCAAAATTCTGACGAGTCTAGATCATCCGCATATTTGCAGATTATTCGAGACGTACGATGGCGACGACCAGGTGTTTCTGGTCATGGAGTATGTGAGCGGCAAAGAATTGTTTGATTATTCGCACTGCTTCGCAGCAGCCCATCTCGTCAGGGATGTAGGGACGCAGTGTTGACACTTCCTGTGGGCACAATCCTCCTTACCAGGTGGCGTGGCATGGTGAGTGAGTGAATGAGTGAATGAGTGAATGAGTGAATGAGTGAATGAGTGAATGAGTGAATGAGTGAATGAGTGAATGAGTGAATGAGTGTGTGTGTGTGTGTGTGCGGGTGCGGGTGCGGGTGCGGTGCGGGCGGGCGTGCGTGCGCGCGTGTGTGTGTGTGTGTGTGTGTGTGTGTGTGTGTGTGTGTGTGTGTGTGTGTGTGTGTGTTCGCGTGTGTGTGTGTGTGTGTGTGTGTGTGTGTGTTTGTTCCTGCGTTTTCCATCCACGTGCACGTCCTCACGCTCCCGCGTTCTCTTTCTGTATTCGATAGGCCCTGCCAGTCCACCCACCCACAACGCCAGGTGGAATTCAAGGCAGGCTTCCCCCGCCTTCGTACTCGCGACAGGGTTGCCACCTCGCCGCTTGAGGACATGTGTATGTAATGTGTGCGTGCGCGCGCGCGTGTGTGCGTGCGTGCGTGCGTGCGTGCGTGCGTGCGTGAGTGCGCGCCGCGCGCGCGCGGCGCGCGCGCGCGCGCGCGTGTGTGTGTGTGTGTGTGTGTGTGTGTGTGTGTGTGTGTGTGTGTGTGTGTGTGTGTGTGTGTGTGTGTGTGTGTGTGTGTGTGTGTGTGTGTGTGTGTGTGTGTGTGTGTGTGTGTGTGTGTGTGTGTGGGTGTGGGTGTGGGTGTGGGTGTGGGTGTGGGTGTGGGTGTGGGTGTGTGTGCATCACTGTGGCGCACCAGCACCCCGACCTCGAGCCGCAGCAACAGATAGCAACGTGGAAGGAAACTGTTGCGGGCGAGTTCCCCCTCAAGCACACCCTGGCGGCATGCGGCCACCTCACGTCACCAGCTCACACGGATGCGCCATCTGCACCCTGTCCGAGGCCTTGCTCGGCTCACCGCTCGGGCTTTTACCAAAAAGGGCCGCGCTTCCGAAACCCCACTATACCTAGGAGGAGGGCTCTTTGGCTCCGAGAGGGATCTACACCTCCCGCCCCAACGGGCGCACTCCCTGGTGTTAGTCTTCTCCCGCCAGCGCTGCAGGTGGGCGACAACCGCTTTCACACGACCGACCAGACCCCCAACGTCTTCTGCGACGCCTGCGGGCGGGCCCCTTTGACCCTTGCAAGCACAACGGGGGCACATGGTTTGACTCCGAGACGAGAAAAGCTGGTGGCGGCCAGGCGGCTGGAGTGCTACAGGAAGGGGCAAGGACCGTCGGTGGCACTGCGCTGCCTGCTGGAGGCTAAACCTCGACGCCCTAGGCCTCTCGGTACGGGAAGACGGCAGGATTACCACCCACCTAACCGACATTGCCGCTACGGCACCCCACCGAGGCAGCCGCATGCTGGGCCCCCTTCCGGCGAGCCCCGTCGTGGCCCTGCCCGACGCAGGCACACCGCTCCGGCTGCGGCTCCTCCCGCAGCGCCGCCACCAGGACCCCACTCTCACCAACGCCACCGTCCCCACTCAGCGTACCAGCGACGACAGGTTTGGGCGGGACACCAGGAGCGGGTACTGGCGCTGCAGGTGCGACCGTTGCCCCAGCGGCGGCCCCCTCCACGAGTGGCCATGTGGAGAGACCCCGCCAGGTACCGTCATCTTCCGCCCTGGAAGCCAGGCCCCAGATGCGGACGGTCAATGCCTCCCGCTCTTCCGCGACCGCGAATACCTTTCCGCAAACACGCAGTGGAACGCCACGTTGTACTGCGCGAGGTGCCTCGTGGACCTCTGGGACGCCCGCCCCAGCCGCGTCCAGGCCATCCCCGCCCATGATGGGATCCAGGTGTTCCCCTGTGCCGCTCCTGGCCGGGAGCGAGCGCCCCCCGCGCCTCTCCCGCAGCCGCTGTCCCCTCTGCGCCCTGCCAACCGCTGCCCACCTGCCGACGAGAAGGGCCCCCAGGAGAACCCCGCACGCCGGTCGACCCGGCCCGCCGCCTGATCTCCGACGGTGCCGCTGCCGGGGCACCAGGCACCGCGGCCTCGGGCGGCCCGGCCACGCAGCGCCGCGGCTCCCGCCCGCCTAGGCCACCGCCAGGGGCGAGACCAGGGGCAGGCGCCCGCGAACCGTCGGCCCGGTCCGCCGCCGGCGGGCCAGGGACGCAAAGCGGGCGGCCTCTGAGAGCACGAGCCGACGCCGGGTCGGCCGGAATCCCGACTGCAGGTCGCTCCGCCGCACTCCGAGCAGCAGCGCGTCGAGGGGCCGCGGCAGTCCACCAATGGGTCGGAGCAGCGGCAGCGACATCCGCTCCCGCGCCAGCCCTTCCCCGACGCCCCCGCCCCACCGCGGCCCGAGGCGGCCGCTGCTGCCGCTCGGCCGGCCCAACAGGCCCGACAGTGCGCCCCCGCGCCAGGCCCACGCCGGCCGCCAGCCCCCCGTCGCAGGGGGGGAACGGGATTGCGATCTGGCCACCTGGGCGAGCAGCTCCCCTGCCCCTCGGGCAGCCTACTCGCAGTTCAGCCGCGCACGATCCCTCCGCCTGCACAGCGCCGAGAGTAAGGGCTATCCGCAACCTGGGGGCCCAGGGCCATGTCCCCCCAGCCCCTGCCGGGCAAGGCGGACAATTCCATCGCCCATGTTATGGTGGCGTACGCTGGGGCTCTGCGCCCTCGGATCGAAGGCGCCTGGAGAACCCGTGCCGCGCGACGACGTGGCGACGCCCTCGCGCGCCAGGTGATCCCGCGCGATCCCAGAGCGTGGCCCAAACCCCAATGCAAGGATTTCCTCCCCGCCGCGCTGTCTCATCAGCTACCTGCGCAGCCAGCGTTGCCACCCCGTGCCCTCAGGTGACCACGGCATGGCCGCCTTATGGGGCGAGTGCAGGCAGATGCGCGACGAGCAGGCAAAGCAGAAGGGGCGTGACCCTAGTCGGTGCAGCCAGGAGCTGCTGCTTGGCTACCCGGAGTCGGTGAGCACCCGCGACCTGCAGGGCCCCCAGCTAGTCGGGTGCGACCCGCGGACGGTGCGGAGGCGACAGCGGTCCATCGACAAGATTGGCGCCTCCCCGGCCACGGCGGACGCCGACAACGTAGGCGCCCGCGACGGCGCCTCGGCTCCAATGGGAGCCAGACCGCGCACCGGCGCGCCATCAACCGTGACGGTGCCGCCCCCTGGTCCAAGCGGCCCCCGCCCGCCCGGCCCCGCCCGGGCCCGCGGCCCCCGGCCGCCTGACTCGCAGGTGGCAGGCGCCGCCGCGGTTGGAGGCACCTCCAGCGGAGGTGGCCCCCTGCTCACTGACCGCCAGGGCGCGCCTGGGAGCGCCCCCCCCGGGCGCGCCGCCGCGGGCGCGTCTCCCGACGCCTCCCGGGCCACCCCCTGCTCCGCCGCGCAGCGACGCCCCCGACTGGGGCCCCCCCGCCGACCCGCGCGCGCCTGCAAGTCCAGCGCGCCCGGGGGGGGGAGGCATTGCGGCGCCGCCGCCCGGCCCCCGCGGCCCCCCCCGTCAGACGCGGAGCGTTGGGGCAGCAGCCCGGACGGGGGGCAGGCGCTGCAGGCAGAGCAGTCGGGCGGCGGGCCCGCGCCAGCTGAGACCCCCGGCGAACCTGCCCGAAAGACCCAGCGGGCTGCCGAGCACGCCTCGACTGCCCCCCCCCACCGCGCCGAGGCAATCGGAGGTCGGCGATTTCCGAGGAAGCGCCCGCCCCGCGCGTTCGCCTGACCGCTCCCACCGAACGGCCCACCTATTGGGTCGCTATGCCCCCGCGGCAACCCTGACGACTCGCCGTGCAACGAGCCGCGACAGGCAATGAATTGGCCTCCAGTTCCCAGTCTCAAACTTAACGACAGAACGATGGAGTCCTGGCCCGAGGCCGTCAACCGCTTCAAGCGGGAATGCGGCCCCATGCGAGCCATCGGCTGGAACGCTGTCTGCGACCGCCAGGCGGGGCGCCATGGGTCCACCCGCGACCCAGCTGTCCAGGGGGAACTGGTCTGCGAGGATTTCGTTGGCCAACTCAGCGAGGCCGACATGGGCGTCCGCAACCTCTGCTGGGCGATCGACATCCAGATTAGCTGGCAACGTGCCTGAGAAAAAGAGGTGCGAAGGAGGGGCCGCGCCGCCGGGCTTGGCAAGGGGAAAGGGCGAGGTCCCGTGCCACGCGGAGAGGGCAAGGGGCGCGCCGACTCCGCCTGGCCCAGCAATGATCTCTCCAGGAAGCGGTGCCTGGGGTTCTCCATTCGCTACTCAGCCAAACGGTCTGACCCGTTCCCAGCCGCGTCCCGGCGCCGGCTGGCCCCCCCACCTCCCTGCAGCATGAGCTTTGATCCGGGTCGAGCTGCTGCTCCCCGCGTTCGCGCGCCGCCTCCTGGGCCCGCCGCCCGCGCGGTCGGGCCGCTCGCCCCACTTCGGCGCGCCAGCTCGGTGCGCCCCCCCCCCCCGTCGCCCCGCCCGCGGGCCCGCCCCCCCCCCCCCCGACCGCCGCGCCCGGCGCGTGCCGGCGCCGAGAGGTCCAGGCGCGGCGGCTCTGCTCGCGCCTGGCCGCTGCCTGCCCGCCGTTCCGCCCAGGTTGCGGGCGCCGGGCTGGTCTTGCCGCCCTCGCCCCGCCCCTCCGCGGCAGGCGCCGCTCGCTGGCGCCGTCCTCCTGGTGGTCGGTGCGCCCTCCCTCCCCGCCGCCCCGCCGCTGCCCGCCCGGGGTGCCGCGGGCCACGCCATCCTTTCGGCCGGGGCGCCGACGTCTCGTCCCTCTGGCCGTCGCCCTGCCGCCTTCGCTCGAGGTCGCTGGGCGTCGTCTTTCGGGGCGCGCCCCCGCCTGGCCGCGCCGGATTCTGCTGCCGAGTGGGCCGCTCTGTCGTGCCCTTCGCCCCCTCGCCGAGGGTCCCTTTGCCTTGTCGCGCGCCTGTTCGGTGCTCCCCCCACCGCTTCTGCCCCGCCGGCCTCTGCGACCCGCCGCCGTCTCCCTCTGCGTTGGGGCTGGCCGTTGCGCCTTTGCCCCCCCCTCCCTTCGA